CGGATGTCGATCGTCGACAGTCATTCTTCCCTAAGAATCCTTGGGCTCTCCATGGCAGGGGGTCGGACCCTCCATAGCAGGGGTCCGGGCCCGAACCAAACCATTCAAAACCCTATGTGTTTGAGGATCCGGATTCTGGTGCTTAGTAGGGAATTAGGGAATGAGCCCCCAATAGAGATTCCTTTGGATCCATTCCCTCATTCCCTGCTAAGCACCAGTCAGTCTACATTCCTGAAACTCCAAATGACCGGTGGTGCCCGAAGCGCGGTCGCTCGCAGACCGGTGTTCGTCCGGGGTCACCGAGTGGTCGAGTGGTTTGGTGGATGTTGGTGGCACAGCGTTTGGTGGGTCTTACGAGGGTCCAGGGTTACGGGATGTTATGGGTTTTGCCAAATGCTTGCTTTTTCAGGAGTTGGTGGCACAGCTGCAGGTCATGGAATCTTGGCTGATCTTCCAGAGTTCTGTCAGACAAACTCCCTAACCGTTCGCCTTCAAAAGACTACCTGGATCGCGAAAGTTGCCTGTTTAAAAGGTAAACTTTGAATAGTTGCATGTTTCTGGCTTCACTTTCTCAGATACCCAACAAATCGTACACTTTCTAATATTGACACTTCCCATCGCTGCCTTCAGGTTCCCCGCGTGCCCAGGCACCTCTGAAGGTCTGTTTTCTTCAGCATGAGCAAGGCTCAAAGGGCATGTGGCATCCTACAATAGATAAACTGAAGCAAAACAAGTCACGTTGACAGGTGCCAACGACGAACCTGTAGACCATGTAGGAAAGTTGCTTGCACTTTGTATGACAACTTTGTATCCATATCCTGTATGCCCATGGAAGCACGACGGACCCTGCGGCTGAGAGATCGATGAGGACTGGGACAGTAGCGTTTTCGACAAGAGGGGTTGTCTCTGTGAAGGTAAGTATAGAACAGTTCCGTCATTTTTGTTCAATCGACCTCTTGAGCATGCAGGATGGAGGAAGCAAGTATTTCCTCACTCTCAATGCCCAGTACGGCTGGCATGTTCTTCTCAATGAATCGCCAATCCTGCCACGGGCAATGTTTGATCCATGCTCATGTTTGGGCATGTTGGATTAACATGTTTCTTTGCCATATACATATGAAGCAGCGAACACCTGTGCATCACCATGCAACTATTAAAGGCTCTGCGGTGTGCGCTGAACTCGAACTAGTCTGAGGGTTGGATTGGCAATGGCAGCAGCCGGCCAGCTAGCAGCAGCATGGGAAAACAACAGGGTCATTCGCCACAGGCTTATGAAGCAAAAGTTCTTTTTGCAGTGGCCATCTACATCTGCGCCAGCAGAAACCCAGGAGGAGGAGATCGAACCAGCTCACCCGGTTTGCACACAAGCTTTGGAGTTGAATGTTGATGTTCTGACTGTGATGGTTGACGAGCTAGATGGCCAGTTCATCAGCATTGATGACCTCAAACCTGAGGCCGAAGTCTTTGTTTCAGTGTCCACTAGAGTTGAGGGAGTAAGGAAAGAGTTGAGGTGTGCTTACTATAGCTGTCCATGTGTATATGACCCATCACCCATGCATGTATTTCATCCACAGAATGCATGCAGGTGAAGAAACTGTTTGAAGACGTTAACTATGAGCCTGGAGCACGCGAAGTCTACATAGCAGCCTGGGACCTGCGCCAGCTCTATACCTTTGCATTTCGTCGACAAAACGACGCTGCCAAGAGAAACCAGCGACCCCGGGACTGCAGCGGTCAAAGATATAGCTGTTTTTTGTTGCCAGCATGTTCGCTTTTCTTTACATGTTCCCTCCCCACCTGGTACATGCATGTGTGTTTCCATCAGTTGTTGCAGGACAAAAAGGTCAAGGCGTTGTTCGAGAAGATCCGGGATCTACGAACTCAATGGGCCAAGTGGGCCATTGAAGATGTTCAGCATGCATTTGATCCTTCCAAGACTCCTAGCAGGTTGGAGTCTGATTGCTTTGAGGCTGCTTCACCTGCTCCATCACCTGACCCGACTCTCAAGTCAGGGAATGTGCCACAGTACAGAGAGAAGCGGTCAGCTTCAAGTTTGGCTTCAGAAGTGACACCAAAGGCTTCTGACGAGCCAACCATGGTGGGCTCTCCCGGTGAAAGTCAACTGCAACTTGATGTGTTGGGCGAGGCATGCAGCGTTCCAATGACTGCGGAGCAGCAGAAGGAACTGGACAGTGTCTTGCATCAACTTCACATGATGCGGCTGGCCAGTCGTTCTCGTGAGTTCTGCGCCCAGGTACTCTTGTAAACATGCTCTTGACATAGTATCGAAATATTGCTGCCGCAGTACTCATCCCCAAGGTCTGTGGAGAATGATTTGGCCAAAGGCGCGCAAACCGTTGTTGAAAAGGTATATCGCAGCCATGTTGGGCCGATTTTTCACTCTCATTCAGTTCTGACAGCTACTTTGCTGGTTTGAGGTGGCCAGGGTCGACCTGTTCCATGTCCTGCTTTGCGCGACATTTCCGAGGCTGGGCCATGCCCGTATATCCTGTTTATAGTTTTCTATCGTCTTATTATTCGCTATTTGTCTGGAAAGTTCCTATGCACAGATCCATTTGTAGGCTGAGACCCAGCCAATGGACTTCGGTCAGATCGTTACTCCCCCTGCGGCCCATCATCCACCACCTTGTGAGACACCGCCGAAGGCCAAAATTTGTTTGCTGGGATCGTGTCTTAAGAATTCTGCGATTTGTCAACCAAGATTGGTCAGGTTATCGATTCTTGCCCCGCCGTCAGGTGGAACCTGAGCAGGTTGCCAACTTGCCGGCCGAGGTTGAGGTCAAGGGCAACGAGATCCAGAACAACACTGTAGAGCCGGCTTCTGGCAAAGGCTCAGGGGTCGATGCTGAGGCCAAGGGTGAGGCCAAGGAATCAGAACCGGAAATTACCCCCATGATGCAGTCTGCAATGCGCACCACGAAAAAGAGTAACATGAAAAAGGGACGAAAACCTGGGAAAGGAAAGTCCGGCAAAAAGAACACTTCACCAGGTGCAGGTGGCCGTGTCACCAAGAGGCGCTCAAAGCGCAATATCTTGAAGAAAAGTAAGAGCCGCGAGGGTTTGGTAGAGCAAGCCAGTGCATCGACTGACGAGCCCACTTTTGTTCCTGACCCGGCAGCCCGGAAGCGAGCCAAGGGAAAGGCTGCCAATACCAGATCCAAAGCCAAGTCCGCAGAACCACGTAGAAAGCGCAAGACATCATCAACCGCCGCATCCAACAAGGTTGATGGGGCAAGCAAGCCGGATAACTCTGAACACCCAGCCCAAGATCGGATTAAGATGGGCAGGTCATGGATGTATCGAGTTTTGCCTGGGCAAGTCTTGGGCTGTGCAAATTGCCGTTGCATATACAATGGCTGCAGCAATTGCCGCCGTTCCAGCTTCCGTGGTAGGAATGCGGAATACTACTACAGCCAGCAGCAAGCACTGCCTGCACCAGAAGCACATGGCAGCACACCTGCGGAAGAGCCCACCAAAAAAGGGCCTTCCAAACGTACCAAGACTGCAGAAAAGCAGACGCGAGCAAAGCGACCCCGCAAAAACTCAAAGCATGCAGTGTGATGGCTGGACCAAGCGCAACAAGTGGGTGGCCAGGAAACCTTTCTCAAATCAACCAAATTTTAGAATATATGTTTGAGTGTGTGTCTCTTTTTTCTACTTGTTTCGAACTATGTAATTGTAACTATGATGCAGGAGCAACAAGGAACCCATGCAAACCTCAAGGGCAAAAGGACACCCAAACAAACATGCTTATCCTTTTTTGACGGCCTCTCAACCTGTTTTGGAATGCCTGTTGTCACTTCGCAAAACATTCAAGCACAGTGAAAGTCGTGTTCTTTTACAAGTCTATAAGTACATGCGGTGTGCTTCATGCCGGTCCTTCCCAAGGTATGCCCACTCTTGCGGATCATTTCATCAAGTCCTGCGTGGAGCACTCACTTCGGCTGCTTCTGAGTGGAGAGGATTTTGAATTGTGGGTTTTGGGTGCCTATAGCAGGGAAGAACCTTGCTATACGGCTATATATATGTGGATTTGTTGGGGTTGTCGAAGCCCAAGCACACCACATCCATAGAGTAGAACTTTGCAAAGGAAGGGTCAACATATATACACACACCGTCGCATCTGGGTCAACCGCAAAAATCAACAGGATGTGCGCTTAGCAAATGGGCTCTGACTTGGACATGTGGTTTTCACCGCAAGTGTTTCAATGGAAAGGGTTGATCATCGCAGAAATGAATGCTTTTGCAAACCTGTCGTCTCCGCAACAGCACGTGGTATACATGCATACAACATATATATATATATGTTTATTGTAATTATAGATTCTATGTATTCAAAGGGCAGCAGTAGAATAGTATATGTACATACATATGGTGATTGCATATGTATATGTACACAATGTATACAGATATATCTATATATGGTATACATAGAAAAAGCATATACTTTGAACCCGCAGTTGTTCACATGCCAGGCGACTACGTTTCGAATGAGCAAATTGGCCAGATTCCGACGCTCGACCTCCAACCGCCAACGTGAAGGTGCAACTCTGCTGCCGGCTTTCTGATCTAAAGAAGGGTTTGATCTCGAGTCATTTTAGCAAGTCTGTGATTTGAGAATGCTGATCTTCAGTCCCTTTCTTTGTGCAACATTTTTCTCACTTGAGTGCACTCTGTGGGTTTTGAACAGTAAGCAATATGAACATATGGACGTACTTGGTGTACACGACACGCATCTTGTTGTAACAAGACCTACATTAGTAGAAATCGAGCGCTGGTCATGGCGATGCCTCACGAACGCCTGATGCTTCTCCTTCGCCAGCTTTTGCTCGTGAACGCCCCCCGAGTGCCTTGGCAGGACCATCTACCAGCCCACACTTGAGAGTTCCCCAAGTTCATTTCAACTAAACAATGTTCGAGGTTAGGGCCCCAACGCGAGGAATCTGTAGGCTACTCCGTACTACTCCGTTGAGGTCCTGATGATGGCAGTGGTCCTTCTGGCTTTCACAGAGGGTCTTCAATGGGATGAGGCGCCACCGAATCAAAGTCACCCATTCGTGATTTAAAGCATGCATGCACTTCCCATATCTTCCCATGTGACATGCGCAGATCTATGATGCTGCTGAGATCTTTGCGGGGAAGGGTGTCCTCAGCCGATGCCTGCTAGCTGGAGGCTATGCCACAGCATCCTTGGATATTCTTCACTTCACGCCGTGGTTGGCAGAAAGAACTAGAATGGGTAGGCGCAAGCTTTGCAAGGGGAATGCATTGGACTTGACATCTCCAGCCGGCTTTGGGTTCCTTTCATTCATTTCATGAACTTGATTGCCCTTTTGCGCAGTTGTATCTGTTAAACAACGAATGAATTGAAATGTGTTCCCTTGATGAGTCCAACCCAAAACCTACACATGGAAACATCATCCCTGTGTTGTTCCGCCCAGGCTTCTCCTATCCACGATATTGAGGTCCAAGCCTTCAGCAGTCTTCACATTCGGCCTTGTCTGTTCGAGTTTTGTGGCGGTCTCCCGTGGCACCACTCACCGCTCCTTCTTTCTCCCTTTGGGAGACCCCACTTCAAAGTCGGTACAGCTAGGCAATATACTCTGCAGCAGGAGTGCATGGTTCCAAGACACACGACACTATAGTATATATGTTTAAATTGTTATTCTTATTGGTCGTAGATGTCGTAACTTGCACCTCGTTGAACCCCCTGCAGGATGGTTCTGGCTATGATACTCATGATATCTCGTGGCATGGTGTTTGTCTTAGAACAGCCATCAAGTTCCCTTGCCTATCGCCATCCCAGATTCCAGCAACTTTTGAAAATGACAAATGCACCTCGGTGGAATAATACCATGAAGAACGGTGGTTCGCACACAATATTGTGTATAAATATATATATATATGTGGAGTGTAATGCATGGCGAAACCCCACATTTCCTCTGCTGGATCTCAGGTTTGGCGGCAAGCCTTCTGGATGCGTGGCTGGGGTAGTAATACTCCTAAGAGGACGATTCTGTGGAGCAACTCCCGTGGGGTGAGGAAGTTTGCAACCCACAAAAAGTATGCCAAGGGGAAAAAGAAGAACCAGTTGGCTACAGTCTACATTGATTCCAATGGAAAGAAGAGGTATCAGGGCAATTCTCGGCTGAAGGGATCACAGTGTGGGACTCAGTGTTGAATACCAAAACAAAGAAAGCACTGTTCAAGTATTGAATGCTTCAGTTGACATGTGGACTGACCGACGCTCTTTCAGGGTTTATCCTGTGGGCTTTGGTATTCGCTTCACTCGAACAATGCCGCTGCTTCAGAAAGAGAAGTCCAAGCCCAACACCATTGCAGAGGACAAGGTAAATTGGTAAACAATGAGAAGGTGTTTTTTGATAGATACTATATTGTATTCATCTTCGTCTCACGAACCTCAGGGATGTCTTTGCTGGCATGACATCTCATTAACCATAGCTTGCTTTCCCAACGCAAAAGAGATTCGATCACCTTTCCCATCCAAACCATTTCACACAGATTCAATCCTGCCCTCGCAAAACGCTTGGCCGGCCAAGGTGCCCACCATCGACGAGATCAAGCCAAATGATGTCTTGCCATGCCTCGACTCGATGGACGACTTGTGGAGGGATGCACGGATGTCTGATGTTCTTCACTACCTGTATGGGGGGACGGGCGTCCAATTGCCCGACGACTGGCGTGGCTGGTTCCCATCAAAGATTTAAATCAAATCTTTGGCCACCTGTACGCTAATTAGATAGATCATGTATGCAAGCCATGGGCCAAATCACCACTTAGGCGAAACAAAGTCGTATTTTAACAATTCCACCAAAAATGGTACACTGTGACAGGAAACGGGGAAAGGATACTGTTGTAGGCGAACTAGTGGCGGAAATTTCCGTAGCGAATGTATCCCTATAATGGTACACTTTTATAGGTTTTCCAGGATCGGGATTTTACGATCCTGAATGGCTCCGAGAAGCTTGCCAAGTGGTTGGCTCCCAACCCCACATGATCCCATCAAGAGCTGCGTGGTGCAATATCATCATAAGCTCGTGCCAGGAAAATGAAGAGTGTCCATGATCGGGATTTGTATGGATTTGCACAGTGATGTCATTTCATGTTGTTCCATCGCAACCCCTTGACATCTTTCACTTCCTGGTGTTCAGGCTTTTTGGTTTGCAGTGATAGCTGTGAGCACAGCCACCATGGCCACCGAAGGTTCCCCCAAAACGTTGCTTTCCCGCCAATGGTCTGCGAGCACGCTGCTTCGTGGGAACTCATACCTTTTGGAGCAACATACTCGCAATCAGAGCCTCAGCTTTGATGACCTGATCCATGTTCCCAAGTTGCATGATTTAGTCCGGAGTTGAAATGTTGGCGGTGTCCGCAGTTTAAGTGTCTGTCCCACACCGCCTGGGGTCTCTGAGACAAAGGCTGCAAAAGGCGAGCTGAAGGCAATGCAAAATGCCAGCACCTCAACTACGCCGCAGGCAAAGCGAGCTTTGTTTACACCCGAGGGTGAAGGAAAGGGAAAGGGCGAACTGCCCAACTTTCAGACTCAGGACACAGTTCGCTATGACCATCCCTCTGCCCCTGAAGCAGGTCCGTCCAAGGTTGGATCAGGTACGCCTTCTGTCCGGCAGAGTGGCGATGAGATTCCCGAGACAGTTGAGGTTCTGACTCCCAAGGACCGCCTATAGCTCGTTGGATCTCTTTGTTGGTATAGGATGTCATCAAACATATATTCAAAAAGACTTATTGGCTAGACGCGCCGCGCGCGCGCCATTTTCAGGCTTCATAACTACTAGTATCGGCGCGCGCGCGCGGCGCGTGATCTGGCTGATGGGGGCCTTACTGCATGTTCAAATTTGTGCTCTCTTTGCATCTTGTCGGACTCTGGCAGGACCCGGGCAACGTGGAGTCTGAGGCGGCTGTCAAGACTACAACGGAGGAGGCTGGGAATGCACTTGAAGGTGAACCCACTGACATCACATCCCATCATCAATGAGTATATATACTCTTCTTAAGGGGTGGAGTTGACCATGTATACACACCTTAATTCAAGCATTTTGAAACACTTGGAGGTTTTGTGGCTCTGCATGTTTGTCAGGTCACTGGTGGAGAACCACGTGCTGAAGCGGAGGCTCTGTTATTTCGATTCGAGTGGGGCATTGAGTCTATTGTATACAAAACGCAATCCTGGCTGCTATGAACTGACAAAACACATGTGCCTGCAAAGGTCTATAGCGGATGCTTGACAGCATGTATGTCGGCATGTTTTGCATCAGGAGAATGCTCACGATGACGACCCCTCGTCGGAGAAGAAGAGCCGCAAGTTGGAATCTGCTCTTCGGCGGGTCTGCACTCCCAAAAGGGGTTCGGGTAAGCTTGAGGTGAGTCAGGACATCTACAAGAAGTGGCTAGCAGGGGGATCACAGCGGAAGGCTCTATTGGATGTGTTGGCCAGTGTCAATGGGGATAAGGATCGGGCTTGGTCACGCTCTTTTGGGTCAGTGTGCATGTGAACAACTTTGAACGATGGGTTGTTGGTCTTAACTTTTTTGCGATGCATGCAGGAGGCGTTCAAGAAACACATCGAGCATATGCAGCGTCGGAGCCGCAAAACCAAGATCCATGTAGACTCGGGGTTCTACACCAAGGAAAACATGAAAAAAAAACTTGGATGGAGTGCGTCAGAACCTCAGTGTAATCCTTTCACATATATATATATATGCATGGTCATGCATGGTCCCTCATGAGAATCCTTTTTGGGGAAGCTCATGGTTTCTGAGGACACGAATTGCAAAGGCAGTGCAATACTGTACCCACCCATCGCGGGTCAAAACCCATGTCAGGAGGGGTTTGTTGTTCCAAACGCAGTTATATATATATATAGTATTTTGTTTTACAGCGTTCTCGTGGGTTGCTTGATGCACAAACAGTGTTGGTCTATAAGCATTGTTTGCTTTCAATATTTGTGGAGTTAAAACTATGAGTGGCATCCCTTGGCAGGCGGGACAAGTACGAGAGTAACGTGAAAGAGTATTGGGTTGATGTTGAGACCACTGGGAGCTTCGATAACGAGCATGAAGAGAGCCTGACAGATCGGACTTGCGTCGAGGGCCAAGCGGCCACCTTTGATCTTGGCATTCAGCCAGTGATGCCACCCGGTGTGCCTGAAGAGGAGGAGGAAGATGAGAATGGGTTAGAGGATGAGGATCAGGATGATGCTAGGACCACCGTGGGCCCCGGCGGCAAACCTTTGGAATTAGAAAGCGCGCTTGAGGCAGTAGCATACATGGCTTGGGAATGTTTATATGCAGTTTCATTGAGTATACTCCAACCCATTCCAACTCGATCGCTCTAATACATGTGAGGCGGTGGATAACGTGAGTACCGTTATGGGCAACCTGTTGAAGACCCAATCCAAAATGGAGACACTTTTGGAGAAGCTGAACAACTTGAATACTCCTGAAGCGAAGCAGAACCTTACCTGTATAATGTGTGTTGCGGATAGTTCATTTTGGCCCGCCCCACCAGTCCAAGCAACCAAGCTGTCAGATAAGGAGTGGTGAGAAGATTGCTGGCTTCAAATCGAAGCTGGTCTCACTCCATGACGAATTGGCTGATCTCAAATCTTATTTTGATGCCCAGAGTGTGTGTTGTCTTGACCCCGCCAAGGAGAAACTTAGCTTCAGAGATCAGGGTTTGAATTTTACAAAAGTAGTGGGCTGTGTCACCCTCAAACATGTGGTCCTGCAAATGTTAGGAAAATTGATGCGCTCAAGACGCTCGTGGGAAGCATTGAGATGGAGCCTGGCCCTCACTTGACCTTTGCATTTATGAACGCATACCATCGCATGAACATTACCAGATCCCAAAATATTGCGAAGGTCTTCCCGAGCTTTGATGGAAGAGGTCAAACTGAGAAAGTATCGTGCTTAATACTCTCTTGACAATTTACTGCGTATGATCGTGAGTGTGATTGCTTCTGGAATCTTTCGAATCGTATTTTTGCTTTTTGATTTCTACCGTCTGCAGGACCCTGCTTCGCACCAAGCCTGTCCCGAAGGAGAAGGCAGCGTCGGCGAAAAACAAAGCGGCAAAGGCTGCCGCCAAAGCTAGCGCTGAGCCTCGAAAGAGGGCAAAGCGGGATCAAGAAGCTCTGGAAGCCGATTCGACGAAGTCGAAACCCAAACGAGCTCGCAAGTAAGCCCGGAGTCATGTGTTGTTGTGGGCCCTAGAGTGCACTCGTAAAGGCTGCATGGAAGTTGTAGAAAGGCATTCTGTTTCCAAGACATTCGTGACCTGGGTCATAATTTGGATGGCCTCGACGGTTGCCTTTGAAGTGAGTGCAACCTGAATCCCCATGGCTATATAACAGCAGTCTTTGCACTATAGAAATTCACACGTGTCGTTGTCACATACGTGTGATGTTTGAAGGCTGTAGCAGGGCCCAGGGAGGTGGTTGTAAGGTGTAAGTCGCTCCACAGTCCAGTCCAAGACATCTGTTTCAAAAACCACACATACACTCATGCACATGCGCTTTGTTCAGTGCTATCTTATGATATCTTCAAGCCACACTTCCATTATGGGCCGTTTTGGGTATACTCAAGTGATGCGATGTTCATCATTGTGATTTCTGGCAACCCACAGTGGTTGTGAAGTGTTGCGATGGGGTGCAAAATGGCAGCCGGCAACCTGTAGGACCGTGGTCACCGTGGTCACCAGCCAACCAACGACTGCTGGCTCCCAATCTTTACCCTGCGCAGGTGCCAAACCCGAACCGAGCCACTTCGCAGCGCGGCTTCCAACTTCCACTGGCCCAGCAGCAAAAGCGATTGCATCTGCCATAGCTTCTGGAGTGTCTTTTTCAAGGATCGACCTGCTTTATGGTGATTGTTCGTTATTGTTTCTACATGTGCTATATATGTATATAGATATCCTGCAAAAAATGAGTTTGGCGTGGGAAGAGTTTCCGAGGTAAGTGAAAAACATGCTTGCACCATTGCTGCAGCCTTCTGGGAAGAGGTGAGCAAATCTTCAACTGATTCTGCACGATTACCAAGCGCAAGGTTTTTGCAAATGGCTTCCCGTCTTTCGCAGACGGGTCATGAGTGTGAGATGTCGAACAAGTTTCAGGCATTCAACCTAACCGCTGACATCCCAATTACTGATGTTGACGTGGGATTGACTTGCTCCCACCCCACTCTGAGATTGAGTGATACCATCCAGTGCCTGGACAGGAATGGCAAAATGAATTCTTGGTTCTTCATGGGCAACACCTCAAAACAGTACCATGACTTTTGGAGCAAGTGGCGTGGTCAACAACCAATGCATCCTGTATTCGAGCTGCATGGGTCACACTTAGGACGATGTGTGCCTATTTGCATACATGCAGATGAAGGTACCTCTCAAAAGAAACGAGGGATGCTGGTTCTACAGACCCAAGTGTGCATGGGGCATGGGACAAGGAAGCGTAAAGCTGATCAAGATTCGCCTGGTGTCAATTTTGTTGGCAAATCACTTTGCACCCGATTGGTTTACAGTGTCATGATGGCGCATGTCTACAGTGGGAAGAAGGGCAAGAAGGAGGCCAACCCCAAGCCGCTTCTACGGCTTGTGGACCATCTTGCCACTGAACTTCGCATGCTCTTTGAGCAAGGGTTGGATGTGCACTTTGAGGGAGCCCTTCAGAGGATCTGGCTTGTCCCCATCGCATTCAAAGGCGATTGGCCGGCGCTTGTGAAGATCGGGCAGCTAAATCGCCATCATCTTCGTGATACCCCGACGAAAGAGGGTGGACATGGTATTTGTCACTTGTGTAAAGGTGGTATGCCTTCAAATGCTTGGCATGATGTTTCCTTCGGCAACATGACCAAGATGCGCTCTGAGTTACCGATGCCATGGCAGCGTGAGCCAGGCATTGTGAGCAATCTGGCTCTTGGGGACGCCTACAAGCATCTGTTTTTTCGCATTGACTTGTTTCACACATGCCATAAGGGGGTCATGGCCGATGCAGGGGCGAATGCAGTCGCATCTTCGCTGCAAACAGGGCAACGTTTTTGGATGTTCGTTGGTGTGCTGTTTGGTTAATAGTTTTTCAAGAAAAGTGATCTTATAGCCGTTGACTGAGTTGGCCTTGGTCGACTTTGTCTACGAAAATGAGAGTGTTGAGAAGTGCCTTGAGCTTATCTACAGCGATCTGAAGGCATTCTGTCGCGCTGAGTCGCTGCAGTTGCATTTGCAAAGCCTCACGCGGACTATCGTGGGCTATGCGAATTCCAGTGCATTTCCTGCAGGGTTCCTTGAATGTTTCTACATTAAAATTGTCCAACCATGTGTTTATGGTTTCATTCATTTGGTCATCTTCCCTGAGACAGTGGTTTGGACTCAGGAACTGGTTCAAAGGAGCAGACACAGTGTCGATCCTTGCTTACTTGGAACAAAGGCTTGCTGGAGAGATTCCAGCACTGGAAGACAAAGTGCGTGAATATTTTGTGTCCATGGCTGGCCTGCTTCAGAATGCCAACTTGTTCATGAGAACTGTATACCATGGAGCGCTTTGGCTGGACGATCGTGAGCGTGACATCCTAATTCAATCTGGGCGGGCTTTCATGGCTGAGTTCATGACGTGCGCGCGTCTTGCGTACTCTTTCGATATGTGCAGGTGGAAGTTGCAGCCAAAGTATCATATGTTTGCTGAGCTTGTTTTTGAACTGGAAGTTCAGAAGCGTGCCGGAATTACTTCCTTGTCGCCTCTTACCTTCAGCACGCAAATGGACGAGGATTTGGTCGGGCAAATCTGCTCCAGGTCTCAGGTCGTTAGCAGCAGAACGGTTCATGAGAGGACGCTGAACCGCTACCGGGTTGCGTTGTTCACTCATTGGTAGGCCCACCACGGACACTTTGGCAAGCGCAGTCAGAAAAGACATTGACATGCAGGGTGCGATTCAGGTTTGTTGAGGTGACACCCAAGGAGGGCACATGAGAGGTCTTCCCACATGAATGGCAACATGAACAAATGTTGCTATTGGCGGAGTTGTTGTGTTCATATTTTGGTGGTGGTTGATGACGCATGCAAGTTGTCCCAGTGATGTTGGCCTCTTTGGTATACACTTCTTTGGATTGGGCTATGTGCAAAGTGTTTGTGCATCAGTAGCCAAGTTAGGAAATACAGAAAACCGTGCACTTGGAGCAGTGTACTATTTAAAAGGTACACCAGGTTTTCCAGGTATGAACAAAATCCGGAACAACCTGGTTTTGTGTAAAATCCTTAGTAAAGCATATTGCTTCTTCGGCAAAGCCTATTCGATTCATGGTACGAGAACTCTCGAGGGCCTATTGGATCCACTGCCACCCCGGTGATGTGTTCACCAGCCTCCAGTCCAGTGTCCGTTGGAACAGGAGCGGTGGTCAGGGCTCAGCCCAGACTGACCCAAAAGAGTCAACCATGGTTCCAGCCGTACCTCCGAAAAGAAGGTATGACAGGACCCTCCAAACGCACCCCCCCCCCCCAGTCGCACCGAACCAAAGCGAGTTCAGTGCGACTGGAGCCCGAGTACTCGGGCTGCGGAGCGGAGCGGAGTGTCTCCACCCTTTATACTGTCCAAAACCTGATATCGCTCAGGGAAGGCACCGCTATACATGTTGAAACCTCCAAACTTCGAGTTCTTGCAGATCAGGTGATGTTGGTACAGCTCCCGAGTGGGGTGAATCCCCTGGCAAATCGTTGAAAATGCTTCCCCGTTCCGGGACAGCCTCCGTTGTGAGGCTCCAGGTCATCGCACCCAAAACCACCGGTCTCGGTCGCCACATTTCGCTGGCACGTTCGGTTCACCGTGATGTTTAAAGCTCCGGCTCCGTTCCACGATCATTTGGTGTGACCTGGAACCTGTGGATCTTCGTGTTTTCCCCTTCAACTCGCAGGCCCGAAGAACCGATGTGATCAACAGTGATCCCCAAAAACCGATGACCGGAGGACCACGGTTTCCACGTGTTCGTGCGACATGCGACGTCAACGAACGATCTATGACAGGGGATCTTCGCCTCCGTACCGGCGTTCCGGCGTTCCGGCTGTGCTTCAAAGCGGCGTTCCAGCGTTCCGTTGTGCTTTGACACGGTCTTTGACTCTGTGTCCCCCAATGGATTTGTTTGATTCGGGTGTGGGCTTTGCCTAAATTAGCACTTGCAAAGACTAGAGCTATATATAAGATAATATAGTCCTATAATGTCATATATATATATATTAGTAGTATCTAGGCTGCATTTTTGTGCAGTTCATGGACATAATTCTTGGACAACATATTCAACCCCTAGAGTTGGTTGACATCCCATGACACTTCTCCAAGGGCATGGATACCAAAGAGTTCTTCACGGGTGTAAAACGGATGTACCATACAGTTTTCAATATTCACTGCATAGGTCCATACTCGAGATCCCCATACCTTCCTAGAAGGCGTTTGGGGTGTATATTTTGTCGGTAGAGAACATGATAAAAACATCTTCCAAGTGGTTAGACATTGAAGCTTAGGCAGCTTAGGCTCCTGGTTTGCATTCAATGTTTGGGTGCATTTGCTTCATTGTCCAAGGATGTGGCTGACGCCTTCATCGACGACTTCTCGACCAAGATCTCCGTTTGAACGCGAGAAACGCGATCCGCGTTCTGTCGCTGTGCTGGGCGTGTCAATCGACAGTGGGACGGTCAATCTTGTTACAGTCCCAATAGATGGTTGATTTTACTGTGTTTGATATCGCCATCCATTACGGGTGGCTTGCCTAATTGGTGATTTGTTTGACCTGTGGGTAGAATTCATAGAACATACCAGGCAAGTGAAGAGCAGGCCCTTGATCGAACATGGTACAAGCTAGTTTGAAAATGGTGGGCTGACCCTCAGGGTGAATCTTGACGCCAACAGACCCTGACTTTCAAAATGCACCTTTTCCCCGGGCTTCAAAGCACGTGAATCCCGAACAGCATTGTTTTACTAATCAGAAGTTTACACTACAAAACCAGGTCAACCATTCTTTTAATGGTCCATTGGAAGACTCCGTGTTGCGCTGAACACACTGTGGCACATCGCATGGCAGCTGGGATGATTTAGAGTTCGTGTCTCTCCCACACGGCGCGTGCGACGAGTGCAGCGTGTGTGCGGCTGGTACCATCTGGCACCCAAAGATGATTGATTAGTTGATGTTGATTGATTGATCTATCATGTAATCATGTACCACCACTACAAGGATTCAGATGATCTATGTTGTTCTATGTTGTTCTATTATGTCTACAGTGTAGTTATGCAGTTCATAAATCTGAATGTGTTTGTTGTGTTTCTAGGTTCTACTTCACTTCTACTTGACTTATGTGTTCTGAATGAGGCATAGGCCTCTTTGTTTGTTTGTATTGATCCGTTCTCATCACACCCAGACACGCTACGACCGACACGACGGACACGACCCCACTGGGGGTGCTTGATTGAAAAGGGGTCCACAGACGACTACTGATACCATGGTTTTTCTTTGCCATCCAAACGGTTTTTGTCATCCAAAACTGAAGGCAACAAGAAGAATGGCGAAAGCACAACTGATCCATTTTAGAGCTGAATGAACATTGGACAACTGTCGATCCTTTGTCATTGGGCCAACCTGGTACTCTGGAAGGCAGATATTCTTGACCCGCCAACATTGATTGCAATATAATTCTGATAACTGTTAAAAATAAAAACATATACACATCCGGAAATTTATCGTCCTAAGGTTCCTTCATTCCCTGGATGACCCCAGATTATTTATAAATCTTATGGTGGCTGGCTGTAGAGATTGCTTTTGACATATTATGGAAAGCAGGACCGGACCAATACGCTCTCCACCATTTTTTCTTCGTTGCAGGTGGGTGTGACCGGACTCCCTAGGGCCGAGTCCGGTCATATTTGCAAGTCCGCACGTTCCTCGTTACACCGCCGTTGACGCGCCGAGTCGCTGAGTTTAGGGATCGACACGCCGTGGTGACTTGCCGAAGGCATGTTCGCCGAGATGTTCGGGTCGATGCAATTTTTTTCGCGAAAGAATAACACCATGGAGAAGTTCGGGCCGCGTCGACGAAAGCGCACGCGTCGTTTCGGGCGACTCGGGACCGTGCGTTGGAGCGCGGGTGACCGACTCGTGTGTTGGAGGATGGGATCCTAGATGAGACTAGGTGAGTCGAAGATGGAATCCTTGCTGGGGAGGAGAGTTCGATGGATCCTACGGAAGTAACTCTAAGTGCGTCGATCACCTGCGCCTTTTTGTTTGGAGTATATAAACACCAAAGACCGGTGGGTGCCAAACGTTTGTTATTTTCCAAGGGATCCAGGAGGGAGTCAGAAAAAACTATAGGGGCTACAGCCACTCCAAATCACCTTCCCAGACCCACGTTGATAAAAATCCATAACACAGGCACTCCATGAGACTGGCATATGTAGTATTACATATATATATATATAATATATATATACCTACATTGGGTGGTTGAACAGAGGGTTCATGTAGGCTGCATATCGTATTCCACACCATGGAGGTCTCTGGAATTTCCCCTCTGCGCGACGCCGCGAAAACTCCGTTGATGGGACTTGTGGCACACCAAGCGACTCGTGGCTGGGGACGGCCTCTTCAGGCACCGTTGATGTGGTTCTTTTTCCGGTGGAAGGGAATGATATTCCTGGATCTTCGAAGTGTGAGAACTGGAAATCTCAGTGTGTTCTCTTTAAGAAAGAACCGCCCAGTACAGACATGTTGCACAGTTGGATGATGGAGGTTGGCTGATAGAAGGTCACTCTTGATCACCTGATAGTCGCTCAGTACCAGTTGGTGTTTGAGGAAAAAGTAGAACCCCTTTCAATGTTGGCTTCCTATGTTTGCAACATCACCAAAAGAGGTGGAATCTGTGGAATCTTCATGTTTAGATCGTTGGCCACGAGATTGTGGTGGTGTTCAACCTGTTTGCGGTATATTTTGCAAGAGTGGTTGAACAGTTTCTGATGTAGGTAATGTAGTTCCTGTGACCATTTCAAGGACTAAAGCATGACAATCTATCAGGGTTTTGTTCGGGGTGTGATCATCCAATACCTATTATATTATATATAGTCCCTATCTACAGCCTCTACATCCCTGGGACAAGTGTTTGTTGCTTGACCAAGCTCGCAAGCTTCCTCCGTGCTTTGTTTTCTTATGCGCATGATACATATCGCATGATGTTACATTTATGTACATCGAGTTATACATGGGTTCAACCACTTTGTGTGACCTATCTCCCAGACACTCACCATCATGTATTGTATTTATGCCTACAATGACCTTTCTGTCAACCACCCCAGCTGATTGGGCAAATATGCCAGTCCCAGACAGGTCGCACCTATAGAGGTTCTGTGTTTCATTGAATGAACACTTCTTCCAGTTCCATTTTTGGCTCCGAAATCATCCGCCGCTTTTTGGCTTTGAAGCCCCGCGCCCCCAAACCTCCGTGCCGCTTCCCAGCACGGCCATGGCGACGGCCATGGCGGAGCGGGCGCATGCCTTCGTGGGGGACTCCCTGGTGGATCGAATGCACCGGGAGATCGAGGTGATGACCCGACGATTGGAGTTGGATGCTCGGTGGTGTGTGGTCGTTCACGGCTGGCAGAGTCGGCAGCTTGGACCCCCCTGGGGAGAAGGACGAAGGAGTTGGTTTTGGTTGTTGGTAGATGTGCGATGGGAGCGGAGAGCAATTCCACCACGCATGCCTGCCTGGGATGGTTTGAGGGGTCTTTCGGGGGGCGGCATATACTCCATGCCTAGAGTCTCAGGTCATACCTTGGAAATTGGGTACAGTCGTACCTGTTTTTATATCGGGTCATGCCGTATTGGGTCATGCCCTTTCTATATGGTACTTTGAAGGGTCCAGGTACATGGATGGTCTGGGATTATATTTGCATGTTGTCATTCCAGTATCGACTGAAGGTGACCGGCCCGGAGCTGCCAGCGCCATGGAAGTGAACCGCTCCGAAAATACCACGTGCACCGGTATTTGGTATTCGGATTTCTTGGCCAAGACCATCCACTTCCATGTGATGTGTTCGGAGTGTAGTGTCAGATGTGCTCTTGTCAACTGGGTCTTCTCCCAGAAGCCGCGAGCTCCAACCGCCGCTGTTGCGCAAGCGAAACAACCACTCCGCTGTTTCATGCCATAAAGGAGAAGCGGCGCTTGAAGCGGATCGACAAAGAGCTCGAAGCCGCGCGGAAGACGCAAAACATCAAGGAGCAGCAAGCACGTGCCCAGTCGAACATTATTTCATTTATATCATATATCAAAAGTTAGGCGGTTCTTAGCAAAAAGCAATATCGGCCCCACTTGAATGGGTGAAAACTGTTAGGGATAATTACATATATTCATATATATATACCCTGCCAGCCGGGACCCTAACTTTTCCTCGGGTATGCGGACAAACCCCGGGTATTCTTGCAAAATGGGAAAAACCTCGTGTTTCCCGGGAAAACCCCGTGTATTCTCTCAATCTGCCTGCTGAGGTAAAGTTGATTGAATTCCTTTGCATGCTGAACAATCCGGGCGGCTATCCAAATTATTTTTTCGTTCCATTTCGTTCCATTGATATGGTTTGTTGACACTTGCTTGAATTTTATCGGGACAAGTTCAGGTGTGAGGTAGAACCCGTGATTTTCCCGTGCTGAACCCGTGATTTACCCGTGCTAACCCGTGATTTCCTTGAAAAACACCATCTTTATTGAAAAACCCTATCTTTTCAAACCCGTGATTTACCCGTGCTAAACCCATGATTTACCCGTGCAAACCCGTGAAAAAAATCACGGGTTTGAGGTCAGATGCCAAACGACTTTTGGGTGCAAAAAACGCAAATCTTCTGATGTGACACCCGTAGTCTCGATACTCAAACAAGACATTGCCGCATCAGTATGCACGTGCTCAAATGCAAAGAACGATGAAAAACGCAAACCCCGGGTTTCCAGTGAAAACCCCGGGTATTTTGGAGAACCCTAGGTTTTCTTCGGGTGTTGGCTGTAAAGGTATATATATATGTTCTGTTAGGCGGTTCTTTTGGGGGGCACATTGCCACATGTTCATGATTGGAAATGTTGAGCGCAGCTTGTGAAGCTTCTTGATGGGTGACCGGAACCGGTAAACACAGCTGCTTGAGCCCACGAAAGTATAGCGAGACGAGTGCCCAAAACTATGACAATATGATGCAACATGGGCTAAGCAATGTTCTTGATCCAACACGACTAGGGACTCAAACATACTCAAACCATCTCAACCCCCCCAAAAAAGGCTTTGAAGATGTTTGGACTTTCCCCCCTCATATCATGTTTGACACCTACAGTATATGATTGACACTCTTTTCAGCCTCAAGAGCCAGCGCCACAGCGCCCGCTTGGATCCCAGGCCAGCGCCACAGCGCCCGCGTGACGCGCCCCAAGAGCGCCACCCGCCGCACGGTGTCGCGTCCCACGAGCGGCTCGAGCGGCTCGGGCGCCTCCGCCGCGCGGAACCTCGGCAAGGCGACCGAACCGCGGACGGAGCGCGGAACCGCGGACCAGTTGGATGTGTCCCGATTGGATCGATCGAGGAGGATCCGAGTTTTGAGATATTTATGGTGGATATCATGGTTATGAGTTTTGAGCTTGGGAGTGAGGTGTTCTACTGGAAATGATTCGGGAAGATGGTTGAGCATGTTGCTGAACCATTGGGCGGAATGGTGTGGACAATGGGTGATGGCAGAATCATGCAGAATCTGTGGGAGGAGACACTTGGGGACATGTCAAAACATGTCAAAACGCAACAACACCATGGGAGGTTGATATTTCTCGTAGTCCATGGTGTTTTTTGTCTGGTGGGCGAAGCACGGTCCGACGTGTTTTTGAGTTTCGACCGCTCCAAAAGCGGTCCGACGCAGTTTCACCAACGGGCGGATTTCAGGCATCGGGATGAAATAGAAGCGGGTCAAACGGTTTGAAACCTGTGTAAGAAAAGGCAAACCTGTACCATGGGCCCCTGGTTTGGCGTGTCTAATTCTAGCTCCTTAGAGGTTGAGGAGTATCCATTAACCACCCCTTAGGGGGCCCTGGTATATGTGTATACAAATCCTCATGCCTTCTAAGAGTGTGTTTGGGATGTGTCAGTAAGTGCTGGGTCCCTGCCTACCTTCGAGACGCATGTAGTCGGGTCCATCAGTGAAGTTTACACTTTGAAGTGTGTCCACGGGACGTGATCCCAAAATCAGCGTTCCTCTACAGTGGTTTTGAGGCTAGTGACGTGCACAACATGTTGGCATTTGGAAGCTCAAGTTTTGCACAATACATCCCAAAACCTCCATGGGACTGGAACATATATAGCAGTTATACAGTTATACAGTGGTTTCAGAGTAGATGGCACAGTCCCCAACGTCTTTATTTTAATATGGATCCCCATATACAAGACATGATTGGGTTTGTGCCATCTACTCTAAAACCAGTGTAATATAGCCAGATCCCTATACATGAACCATAATGAACCCCGCTTCAACCACCCCAAGTGATCGGCTTTGTTCTGGTTTCTACGCCACCGGCCCCCATCGTTCGGGCTCTCCGCGTCGTAGGCGGAGAGCAGAACGCAAGAGTCCGAAGAGGACCGAGACGGGCGGCCGGAGGGAGCGACGGTGATGTACCGTACCGTGAGGTGACGAAGGTTCCGCGAAGAAAAGAGCCGAGCTCGTTTCGCGGGAAAGAACGGAATTTCATGACAGGCCTTCTATGGACACAGCCACTAGATTGCTCTATTTATAATGGCTTGATGACATACTTGTGTTTTTCGCATGCTCTCCGTTCCAGGACGGCTTCTTGCCCATGCGGCAGTTGGTCTCCCAGATGGACTCGCAGGTCAAGAAACTGGATGCAGTCGTGGTGCTCAGTCGGGACGCAAGCACTGGCGGGGCGGTACGGCCGCGCAGTGCTGCGGTCGTGGTGCTCGGAGTTCAGTCGACCCGGCTGCCACGGTGTGTAAAAGTGAAAAGGTATAGTTTCGGTTTATAGTCATCCTGGATAATGAATAGATAAAATATGAGCAACAAACACTAAGAAGCTTGTCATGTTTGTTGGACTTTCTCATATTCTATTTGCAGTACTCCAGGAGGATTATAGATGGTACCAAACTGACCCCACTATGATGAGAACAAACTGACCCCAATGGATATCATTGCTGAGTTGGGCGATCAGCCTGCCCAGAGCAACAGGGCCATGCTTTTGAGACTTCACGGGTTTTTCAGTGATGTTGGACAGCAAGTAGAGTGAGAACCACCTCTTTGGAGAGAAGATGGTCTTCCAGAAGCCTACTACTTTCCACTTCAGGGTGTTGTAACCTTGCTTGTCCTATGATATCGGTATAGCTACGGTTAGCTTCTTGATGTTTGTACTTATTTTCTCCCTGGTGTTTGTTTGATTGAGCCAATTGAGGTATCACCCCAGCTTGGCATTCCCGGTATCAGTACTCAGCATATCAGAGAACGCTGACATCTCACATCATCTCACCGAACGACCATGAAACAACTTCTCCCTCCCCGAACCCGCCTCATGAGCACGGACAGCAATCATACGGTTCTGTTCCTTGCTTGCTTTGTACAATTGTACCAGGCTGCTTGTCTTACCAAAGGCTTCTTTGCGAGACATATACGGCAACCTTGCTGAAGAACATTGGATGCTACCCAGGTCCCCTAATATCGATTATATTTTTGTTTATATGTCGCCTGTTCCAGAATATTCCGCAGCCCCAGCTTCATGCTTGAAAGATGAGGTGAAGCACGAAAACGACTGCCTCTTGGTGATGCGCGCAAACGAAAACGACCTTTGTCTCTCCGAGAAGTCCGACTCCGACGAAGTCCATGAAGCAGGTTCTGTCGAACTCAACCGTCGGACGGTATAAACCTAGAAGTCCAGTGTGGCTATATTACTCACCCCTCCAAAGTACGGGAAGTTGTTTTTCAGCCGCATCTAAAGATCGTTCATAGTCTTGGACTTTGAGGTCTCAAAGTGCCTCGGAAAATTGCTGCAAAAGCAAACTGTTTTTTTGTAGGGTCATGTCCCATGTTTTATTGAAGTCGGGTCGAGGAATATATCTGAGTGACGGAACCATTCAAGATGGGAGGTGACGCCAGTCTTTGGAGTCCTTTTCCGTGCGTTCTTGTAAAGTCCCCTATTTCAATCCATGTATAGTCATATCCCTTCTGTGCCCAAGGCAGAGGTGCCCAAGGCAAAGGTGACATGACGAATTCCTCGTTGTTCTTCGTCACTTGATTGGGATTGCGACCCTATGAAAATCCCAGACCATCCATGTATGGCATATTTACCTAGATTACCCCATTCATGACCCTAATGTAAGTAACTATTATTCCATACACAATAGACGGGTTGGGAATAGATACTAAAATGTCCTGACTGAGGAATTTGGGAGATTTTGGAGTACTGCATAGCACGGATTTTCCAGAAGCTCCCAACATCTCCCAACAAACAAGTTTCAGCCAACAAACAAATTTCAGATTAACAGGTGGATGTATATAATATTTCTATCCAAGTACCCTCAAAGAAGCGTCATCTCCTTGAGTTCATCTAGTCATGAAGAGTGTGTTGCAACCCCAGATGATGACCGGCGACCGGCTAGTGTGTTTATTTCCAAAAAGAACGGTCGTGAAGCAGCGCTCCGGAAGGAGCTGCAAGGGCTGAGGCAACACGATTATAGTCCATTTGCACCAGAGCCATGATCCTAGTATACTCCAAAAAATAGAAGGAATCTGGCGACTGGCGATTAAAAACAGAAATGGTCTTCAGCAAGAGTTATATATGGTATAGAATATTGAGATAGACTCACAAAACCGACAGGAAAGTAGACCAACAGGAATGTGAGGGAAGTCTACTTGTTTTGACCAATAGGACGGTTGAGGCACCTCGCGGTCACCTCGCGGTCACCGGATGCTTCCTGGCTCGGTCCCGGCACCTGAAAGACCCGAACCATGCGGCTCCACCGCGTGAACCACACGGATCGTGCCGATGCTGAGGCCTCAAGCAGGACGTGCAACAGATCCGGAAATACAAGCGCCAACTGGGTCTCTTGGGCGCACAGGCTTCATCCGGCTTCAGGTCGTTTTAGGTGGTTTTTCTCGCACGTCATGTGGCTGATGTGATGAGTCACCTACAAAAGACCGTCATGTTGATGTTCAGAAGGCTTTGGCCCTGAATCACTCGTCGACGGTATCTGTTCTAACGGAATGGAACGGATGTATAGATCGGGTGGCCTTTGGAGCAGATCCACCAGTTACATGGAGTTGGGTGCCCAGCTACTCCAAACGGAGGAAGGAGTTCCGGTGCCCCTGCCACCTGCACGGCCCCTGGATGGGACGAACCACACCACCCAGGCCCTCCATGTGACTCCTGGCAAGGAGTGTTGTGATAGTTTCTGTTCGGCAAAAAAGCAGCATTTAATTGATTATCCCGATTATGCCTTCGAGAGCGATTGGTTAGCCCATGACAGGCCCTGTTTGAGCCCATTATGTTGCGATGAATTGGGATGAACTGCGAGTCACCAACTGAGCAAGCGATGACTATTGTTTGACCTGGCGGGGACGACGACATGTGCGCTGGACATTGTGAACATCGATGCATTAGCCTTCCAAGATCTTCCAAAATGTTCTTGTTTGTTGTTGATGACTGCTTTTGTAGTCTACAACCCTTAATAACACCATGGGTAATGCGGGAAGAACCAACTATATTGGTTGGACACTTCACTTCAGGGTTGGCTCACCTCGATGGCGCATGGAAAAACCAACGCACGCTATGGGTTCCAATCCGGCCGCGGCATCGGCAATTCCGGCCGTTCGTTTTGTGGAACTGGTTTTGCGGATCCGGAAAAAGTGCGGATCGGTGTTTGGCAGCCCCCGTTTTACTGGTGAAAAGCAGCTGAAGTGCATGGTGGTCACTGAAAGCTCGCACGAAGGGCCATGATCCACTCACTGAGGGACTAATCACTATAGGAGCAAGGACGCTACGAACGGGGCTCCTGGCCTTCCTACTAGGAGCAAGGTTCGCTACTATAGAGGCTCCATAGTGGACTGCCATTGGACTGACGACTCACGACGCCCGTTTGACGCCCGGTACACGCTGACTACCCAACGTCCCTGACACGTCCGCGTTTGGGGATCCCTCGATCCCATTTCGGTGCACCAATAATGGGTGCACGTGAGAAGTGAGAACTCCTATCCAGCTGTTGTAAAAGAATTCCTGGTGCATCCAAGTCCTAGAAAAGAAAGGCCTTTTTTTGGTTAGCCTTTCGATGAACCAGGGATTGTTCTTCCATCGACAAGGTGAGATCAAAGCTTCGGGGAAAACATACACAGACTCAATCAAATTCAGAGCCTCTTTAAAAGAATTATTCTTCGCAACTTCTCAAACCGCCATGTTGTCAAGACGCACAGATCTAGAGAGACACCCATGGCCCATGTTCTGCAATGCCGTGAGTCCAACCAAAATGGTTTCCCCCTTCCTTCCTCCGTCTTCTTGGCTTTGCCTGCATCAGAATTAGGCTCCATCTTCGAGCGCTTGAAGGTTCAAATCTTCAAGCGAACCGAAGAGCTGAGAGACTTCGTCGAAGACGCCGCCCAAAGCGGGGACCGCGTCGCGATGCGTCTCGCGATGCGTCTCGCGATGCGTCGGAGTCGCAGACCTCGGGCAGAGAGTCTGAAAGGTGTTTGGGGGTTTCACGACATGTTTCGGTATGTTTCGTTAGCTGAAGACTATCCTCCTGGCCTTCAAAGACGGTTTTGTATATAGTATACCAAGTTTAAGACCCTTAGTAAAACAAGGGTTGTTCGGGATTCAGGCTATTCTGAGTATACGACTAAGGCAAATTCGGTGGCTTTGACTCTTTCTTTTCCCATGCTTTCCACGACGTACGGGTGTCGTTCTTCTGTGAGTGTGTCCCTCAACCCTCACCCCTCGCGTTCCCTCGCGTCGCGCACCTCGCGCTCACCTCGCGCACCTCGTCCCAGCTCGTCCCAGCTCGCCGCTCGTGGAGGCAAGGCGGTGTGCAGTGAGACGGAGCATCGCGTCGAGGTGATGCAGCGGCAGCGCGACGACGAGCGGCGGCAGTTCACCGAGGAGGTGCTGCGGATCCGCCGCGATCTCAGGCGCCGGGTCGAAGAGCAACGGAGACCGACGGACTCGACCGACCGACGGTTTAGACGACGGGAGGAGGTTGGAGGTGTTCGGATGGATACACCCCACCGATTTTAATTGGACATCCTCTTCATACCTGGACCTTCCTCAGAGTGCTTTGTTTCGATCTGCGGCGTGAAAAAACATTTTGGAGTCACAGCATATCTGCGGATGTTTCTCTCGTTTTTTGATTTGTTTTATTATATTCCACGTATTGTACACAAGCTAAGGGGGTTTATTGAATGGCGAGCCACAGGCCTTTTTCCCGAACGTGTTTTTTTAAGCGGATGTTTATTTTTGGTTGCGGATGTGTATGTGGGTCACAGACTTAAATAAAGGTATGTTGAACTACCGACCAAAAAAAGCAACCACGAGGTTGAGTATGGGGGGTTTATTCATCAAGAGTCTACATTCATCCTCTTTCAAAGGGAAGGTTTGTGATGTTGTTCTTCCGGTTCCTGGACAGCAAACCCAAGGGGACAGTGGTTTAGGGTTTAGGTGACATGCGATCAACTGTTTTGAGGGGCGCTGCTGGACGAGATTGGGGTTTGGGTTGGGGAGTTTTGGATGGGTTGGGAAGATGTTCAGAAGTGATTTTGCCATTGACTCATTTACATTATTTTGCATTGATTCATGTCGGATGGTAGCCCTCATCCTTAAGTCATTGCCCCTGATGTTTGGCATTGTTTAGCATCGCCGTGTGACAGACGCAGACAGTGCGCTGCATCCCTTGCCAAATATTCACCTCCCCCGGAACTCCAGTTCAGTTCGTCATCAATCTCTTCAGTTTGGGGATCCCTGCTTCTGGCCTGATTATTGATCTGGAGGCCTCAGTTGTGTCATCTATAAAATTCTACAAACATGCTGTGGGTCAAAACCACGCTCTAATTTCGGTTGACCTACACTCCCTGGAACTAACATGGAAGTGGAACATCAACCCCTTGGCTTTGACCATTTTCTTCTTCACGGTCAAAACCACTTTTCAGACCTGGAAGGTCTATTTATGGAACCTGGAAGGTCCAGTTAGTGTAGGTCAGTGTAGGTGTTGCCCTCCTTTTGACCCATCCCTCCCTCCAGTGCTGACCCGAGAGCAAACCGAATCTGCCGGACTCTGCCGACGACCGCGCGACCCGGCTCGACCGACGTTCAGGAAGCTGGAATCGGAAAAGAGGGAAGTGGAGGTTCGTGGCTTGGCCCAGCACCTGACGCAGGTTGCCGCTTCCTTGTTGTCCGGCGTGTTTTACAACAAGGACCAGGACCGTATTTGGAGACAAAAGGGTTGACTTTGGGCTTTGGGGGAGAATCAATCAAAGGTGCTTGGCTTCCAGGCAGCGGGGATGGGACCCTCATCTCGAAGGCTATCTCAGTGGGACCGAGGAGCTGGACCAGGGCGTTGGCGGAAGAAGAATGAGAGCTGTCCAGTGCTACTGAATTCTTCGGGAATCTTTGATGACGACCATGTGGGTTACCTAATGATAGGGGCAAACCATGAACCTATATTAAGCACACAAGGATCTCTACAACACCAAACACCAAACCTTAGGTGGTACACTTTGATTCACTAATATGGCAGTGGGTCAAAGCCCGGGCACCCTGGTTCATCCTGAACATGAATAGGTTCCGGTTTGGTGGAGGTTTTGACTCTCCAGCCACATAGAAGCGGCTTCCTGGGTCATTGGAAGACTACTGTCCTCTACAAACAGGTGTTTGTTTCCCTCCACGTCCACACATGCGAGAACTGTTCGACGCCTATCGTTTGTGTTGTTGGGTGCTCGTTTATGACTGAGGAAGACCTATAGTCCTCAAGTCATCGAACCGCTGAAACCACTGTAGAATGATGCAGACTCGATGAATCCAGATGTGCCAGACCTTTTCACCCTGGCAATACTAGATGCTGGTCATTGGTGTTACGCAAAATGAAGAGTGTGACCTAGTGTGACAATGTGACAATACATATAGATCACTTAGATCTCCTCTATATCTTCTATAGCAAAACGCCTCATGGCTCAGTTGCACTTGTTTCCTACATTTAGTATTTGAAACGAATTCCGAAGATTTGGCATGTGAAGTTGCGCTCGCAACCGAGGCTTAAAGCGGATGGAAAAAGGCCCACTTCAGAGAGTCAGTCTAGGGATTGGAGTCTGGGGAGCAGGGGGAACGCAATTGATGGACATGGGGATTGGTTTGAGTTTAGCTGGTTAGTTTGCTTGTGCGCAACCCAAGCATTTCTAAACATGGAATGTCATCAAGCTCGAAATGTGATTGTTGTCCGCTTTATGCCCCAAATTATCCCGGCAAGAGACCCCAAACAGTGTGTGTGAGGTCTGTAAGCAGAAAGTTTAGAGATCTAGACGCATTGGGGTCCAGAGAGGTGATGGTGGTGATGAAGTGAAGGTGGGTGTGAGTGAGTATGGGTGAGAGGGAGCGTGAGTGTGAGTGAGAGTGGGAGAGAGTGAGTGTGAGTGCGAGTGAGTGCGAGTGAGAGTGAGTGTGGGTGAGAGTGAGAGTGAGTGTGAGTGTGAGTGTAAGTGAGCGTGAGTGAGAGTGAAGGTGGGTGTTAGTGAATGTGGGTGAGAGTGAGAGTGAGTGCGAGTGTGAGTGGGAGTGAGTGTGAGTGAGAGGAAGTGTGCGTGAGAGTGAGAGTGTGAGGGAGTGTGAGTGTGAGTGAAAGTGGGAGAGTGAGAGTGTGAGTGTGAGTGAGTGTGAGTGAGAGTGAGTGTGGGTGGAGTGTGTGTGAGTGAGAGTGAGTGTGAGTGAGACTGAAGGTGGGTGAGTGAGTGTGGGTGAGAGTGTGAGAGTGAGTGTGAGTGTGAGTGAGTGTGAGAGTGGGAGAGTGAGTGAGAGCAAGAGTGGGAGAGTGAGTGAGTGTGAGTGTGAGAGTGGGAGTGAGAGAGAGTGAGAGTGAGAATGAGAGTGAGTGTGAGTGTGAGTGAAAGTGAAGGTGGGTGCGAGTGAGCGTGGGTGAGAGTGAGAGTGAGTGTGAGTGAGTGCGAGAGTGAGTGAGTGTGGCGAGTGAGTGTGCGTGTGATTGTGAGTGCGAGTGTGAGAGTGAGTGTGATGTGAGCGCGAGTGCAAGTGAGAGTGGGAGAGTGAGTGCGAGTGTGAGTGAGAGTGGGAGTGTGAGGGAGTGTGAGTGTGAGTGAAAGTGGGAGAGTGAGAGAGTGAGGATCTGAGAGCACAAAGTACTGCGCCTGCCACGAAATCTGCACTTCGAGGTTCACCAAGCTCTCGTTAAGCACTATGCTGTTGCGTTGTGTACCAAGCCTGCACTAGAAGATCATCCTGTCTTTGTAGGGGGGGACTTCAACCGCTGCGATCAGCACCATTTCCAGACGTGGGACAAATTCACTCATTCAGGATTGACGGACGTTGACCCGGACTTTCTCACATATCGATACCAAAATCAAGAATCGGCGTTGGACAAGTTTCTTGTCCCCAGCCTCTTCCTGGACACCACACAGCTATTTGCGCGGCTGTATGGTAGGTATCGTATTGATACTTGCCACCATAAAGTAGTCACGCTAAAGCTAAAAATGAAGCCACGGCTGCGCCCACATCCAAGCATCAGACCATCCCCACGCAAGTCTTTCTTGACCCCACTGCTACCACCAACGAGGAACAAAGCCTCTCGCGGCAAGCAGCTTTGCACACCTTAAAAAGAAGAGTGTCTTTGGCACAGGAGACGCGACCGGTTTCGGTGTCCCTTTCTCAGCATTGCCGTGCTGTTGTGTGGAGTTGGTGGCGAAGTCATTCCTGCCACTTCAAGAGAATCTCCCCTCTCAAGAGGCTGTACAAGTTGCTTGGTAAAGAGCAGGCTCTACTACATCTGAATCAAGGCGAACTGTGCCAGCTCTATGAGCAGAGCGGGTATCCAGAGCTCCTGCAGCAATGGCAAGTACAACAAGGATCGCATCTAATCCCTGCCGCCATCGTTGCTGCCGCATTGCAAGCAGCAGAGGCATCTGCTGCTGCAAATTTCGTACTGCCAGTTGGCTATGAAGATGTGGACCCCATCCAGCGTGCACGCAGACAACGATTGTTCTGGGATAGGCTCAAAACCATCTGCCCGCGTGGGACATTTTATCATGGACCACTACTACAGCACAATGGCCAGGAATGTTGCACGGCGCTTGAATACGATGAGGCCATGCTCGCTACTCGGGACTTCTGGTTCTGCCATCCGGTTGAATATGATCCGGCTTGGAATGAAACACTTTCGGCTTACCGACGGTGTACATCTCCATGGCTGCCCATCCCGGAGCCCACACCTCAAGGCTAGGGTCTGAAAGTTTTGAGAATTCTGAGAGTTGTTTTCTCTTCAGACTTTGTTCGGACTTGAGAGTGGCCAGGCCCACCACTGAAGAAGCCAAAAGGCCACGATGAAGGGACTGAGGGTTTGGAGAGTTACAGCCTACG